AAAAAAAAAAAAAAAAAAAGTAGGTGTAGTAGTGCCGAGGAGAAAAGGGCGGAAAGGCAAGGTGTGTCTCGAGCCAAAAAGGGCGAAGGATTGAAATGAGCCCAAAACGAGGAACGGCCGAATCTTCTTGGTGGTACAGGAAGTGAGAAGGGAGGCGGGGCCCCTTGAGACAAGAAGACAACGGAGGAAAGGAAAGAATTAATTTGGTGAGAAGCGTAGAATCGTTTCCTTGCAAAAAAAAAAAAAAACAACACAAAGGGCCGTTGTGCCGGAGAATTCGCCGTGGCTCCTTGGTCCCTTCTAATCAGGGAGAAGAAGGGCTTTAGGACTGGAACGAGCGAGTCCGCCAGGGATAAAAGGCGGAATTAAAGAGAAAAAGTAAAGAAAACGAATCCTGTCATGGCGCGTTACCGTGAAGTCGATATAATCATGCGATCCTAGATCGAGGCGCTACTTGTGCGCTCTAAGGTAACAGGGCCGACTATTCGGCCTCCTCCTCTGATGTTCGCTGGGCTTTTCCCTTCTCCATGCCAGCAACACCGCTGTCGGCCTCGCTGAATATGCCGAGGCCGTTTGAGTCCTTCCTGCCTTCGTTTCGCTGGCCATCCTCTCCGGCTGCTTCTTCGAGTCCCATCAGAGCGGGCGGGCGATGACGCATCTGTTTAGCTTTGGCCAGAGAAATGATCTTGTGCTGGTACGTAGATGTGACAGGTTGTGAATCGTCGCGGTCGATCGTGGCTTTCATCATCGCAGCCATCCATAATCGGCCTTGCTTCAAGTTGGGAACGGCGAAATAATGCACCGTAGGCTTTGTGAAGTGAACAGCTCGGGAGAGGCCAGCTCGAGGGGGGGTCAACTTGAAGATGAAAATGGCGTCGTCACCCTTCTCCACAGGCTCATCGCCATCGGGGGTAGGAGAAGTGAGTGAGGCCCCAGTGATAGTAGCGTGGAGCCCAGTCAATTTCTCATTGTCTGCAGGGAGCACGCGATGGAAAGAGATATCGATGAGGCCCTTTTCGCTGTCGTCGTCCTCCGAGTAGTAATAAGAGAGGCGGCGGCCCTTGAGGACGAAGAAACGGGGTTTCCAGGTGGTCATGAGGTTGGAGCTCTTCTTTCTCATCCAGCCACTGTAATCGGCATCCTTGATCGCCTCCTTTGGACTTATTTTTAAAAGTCCTTTAGTGTAAGCACTTGTCTCCTTCTTCGTCTTCCGTCCCCTATTTCGACTTGCAGGAGTGTTGGTCGCACCAGGGCTCTTGGTCATATCAGGGGACTCGAGTTCCAAGCTCGCCCCTCCTGAGGGAGTAGTCGAACCAGTCCTCGTTGGAGAGGTTATTGAGGGGTCCTTGTCCTTAAAATCAACAGATGATGCTTTAGATCGGTCGAAGCTTAAATTATCAGAAATTGCTCGCATCCCAAATCCACCAGATTTCGACATGGGCTTGTTAATCAATGATGAAAGCCAGTCTGAGTCTTTAGCTGGAGTTGGCGGCCCCTTGGACGAGTCGGAACCTCGAGAAGTGTCCAACCTCGTAACAGTGGGTGAGGGATTGTCCTTGACTGAGGTGGAAATTCGCGGTGATTCGGGTGCCGGTGCATTGGTAGATGTCGTCCTTCGGTGAAGTCCAGGCTGAGCGCCAAAATACTTTTGTGCAGCAGACTGCGCACCCTCACGGTACGAGTCAACACTTCCATATCGGGAGTGCCTGGACAATGCCGTCGCGCTTCGCACTCTTTGTTCCTCAGCATAGCTCCCCCTGTTTGAGCGAGCCGCACTGTCACGCTTTCGAAGATTGGTACGTGTCCTGCCGTCTGCATCGGTGCCAGAAAAGTATCCCCGCTCGAGATCGACAGCAGGGTCCTGAAGATCGACATCAGACCCTCCAGCAATTCCTCGTGCACCGGCGGAAGAAATGGGGCGTGGAGATGTTGTTTGGGCAAAAGCGCTTCCTAGGTTCCAGTTTCGGTCGAAGGAAGGTTGTTTCTTGTGTGGCATTGGGTCAACAGCACCAGGGAATGTGCCATTGCTTGCCAGTCTGGGAGTCGAACCGGCATTCAGATGGTAGTCAGTCGAGGAGTGACGGCGCGAGTGGTGTAGATCGCGAACGGAAGCAGCTGACGGTCGCTTGTGATGCCCTGAGTGCAAAGAGCTGTCTTGTGTGGTTGTTGAGTTGGGCGTCAGTGCTGGAGGAGTGTGATTAATAGACAGTCGCTGGGTCTGGATGGTCATTGGCGGGTTCGTCGTGGCGCTTGTCACGGTGCTCGTCCGCCCACGAGTCCGAGGAGTCATGTCGGATGACCTATCGCTTCCCCTGGTCGTTCTGCGAGTTGCTATGCCGTTGACCTCATCTTGAAGAGACTTGATTTTGTGCCATGTCTTCAAACGACGACCAACAGATCCAAGATCAAATGCCTTGATAAACAGAGAGCTCTGGTCCATCCCCAGAAGAACCTCTCCAGAGATCTCCTGGTCTCGGAATACCTCACAGTGGTGTTTCTCGACTCCAGACGTAAAAAGGTGCTCAGCCACTTGATCGGGTGTCCAGGACTCCACCTCCAACCGAGTGTGAGCACCCTCTTCCTCTTCATCAGTCTCTTCACCGTGTATGTACGATAGGCGATCCAGGGGTGCGCTGTACTCGCTACTCGAGTCTGGTGCAATCGAGGGCAAAGCACTGCTGCTCGCTGGCGATCGGAGATTGGTGATGTGCTCGTTGATAACGTTGAGAGTCTCGTTCAAGACCTGGCTGTCTTGGCTAGGGTTGTTCAGTCGAGCGAGACCTTCGGGGCCTTGCTTGACCGCAGGTGAAGGAGCCAAAGAATCCGGCTTCGCTGAGCTTAGGGGTAACGTTACCGGTGTGTCCTCAGTTTTGGGGGTAGAGTGACCAGGCATTGAGGGTGTCTCTGTCTTCTTTTCTTCTTGCTGGGCGGGAGAGGAGGGCGTTGCATCGTGAGTAACTTCGGGGAGAGGGGAAAGGGGTGTCGCCGATGGGTGCGTCGGGGTCGCTGTAGCTTTAGGTGCTGGCCGAGTATACACTGCCCAAGTTAGCCGAGAATCAATCGTCGTCTCAACGATGCTGTAGACAAACCTTCGGGGAAAAGGCCTGTATTCCCGTTGCCAAGATGTCGTCCAAGAAACCATCCGTCACCGAACTCATCGTCTCGTTCAACCAGTTCAACCCGATCACCCTTGGAGAGGCTTAATTCGTCCGAGCTCCTAGCTATAAAGTCGTCTGTTTAAAGGGGCGCGGGGGACGATTAGCAACCAGAGCGGCTCGGCGGGAGGTGTAGACTAAGCTTGACGGCACAGTTGTTGGGGGGGGGAACAATACTCACGAATGACCATCAGAGTATCGCCCATATCAGGGCGACTCTGTGCGGTGGACGGACCCCTAGCAGCCATGACGGACGATGGAATGAGTCGAGTGTCGCAGAGAGTCGACGGCAGACTGGGGGTTATGAGGAGAGGCAGGCAAGCTCTCGACAACCGCGTTCGTCAAGAAACAAGACCCGCAATTCGAGAAACACTAGCGAGTGAGACAGTAGATCGACAGGTCGTTGGGAGATTGATATTCTAGATTGTGTCGTAGGGAGGAGGCTGCGCGGGATGGACAGGCGCCATGAGCCAGCAGCGTCCACAAGCTTTTTTTGGCACCAGCTCGTGAAGGTCGTCAGAATGAATCGCGCAAGTGAACAGAGTGTGGTGGAGCGCAATCACTGGAGGAACTCCAGTGAGGGAGGGGGCTGAGGTGACAAGGTTGGCGTGGGAGACTGCGATTGGATGTCAAAATTGGGCACGGCAACAATGCGCATTGCACACGGCCGCGCTGGTGGCCCCTCAGGAACCGATTGACACGGCACACCTCAGCGGTCTTATTTAGTATAGCACCGTTCATTACTCGACCCAGCGCTGGGGCTAGTCGAGGCCGGGCCCTTGGCGCTGCCGACGATCTTGACAGGACGAAAGCACGAGAAGCGCAGAGCAGAATCAGTGTGCGGATGCCCGGGCGTCGGCAAATGAGCGAGGCCATGCAGCAGCCCAGGACCAACTGACAAAACGGGGCCTTCTGACTGTCTATAGGAGGTATCTTACTACCTATGTAAGTAGGTCCGTCGTCGTGTTAATTTAATCACGGCCCCCCAACAGCGCAGGAAACATCGAACCAGCCCAGAACCGACAGGGATCCCTGTGCGCCAGGATCTAGAATCAAGATGCACTGGATCCCTCAGCACCAGAATCATTCTCTGGGCTGCTGGAATCCCATGATCCATCACTGCGGAATAAGGCCATATTCAGCGTTAACCTCCAAACCCCGGAGGCAATGCGTCGCACTGCAGGTCATGCCAGTGCCATGTTCTGGGCTCGAGGGTGAGGTAAGCTAGGTACATGCTATATCTAGAATGCTATATCTAAGGTAGGTAGGATTAAAATGATTCCGATGCCAATATCAGAGAGGGGGAGATGATAAAGAAACCCAAACGTTGAGTACGGTGGCCAGTGGCTCTCTACAGGAAATTAGACCCTTTCAAAGGCTACCCCTACCTGTCTTCCATATTACCAGATATATCGGTATACGGGAGTACTTGCCCGCACGCTCAAAGATATCAGAAGACCAGGTACCCACGAGCAATACCCCTCGGTCGGTATTACTATATTTCCCACCAACTTGCCAGGTACCAGCAAGTGCAAACTGCTAGTCCCACTTGGCGGACCGGATACCTTACTGGCAGGTGCGATACCGGTGTCATCAAATCTCACGTACGGGCTGCAGCACTGGGTGTCGGGTAGGTGCATAGTATTGGCACCTGACAGCAAGGAGGGTGTTGCCAATGGTCGGCTTGTGACGCAGCTGGCAGTGATAGTCTGTCACGTTACTAGCAAGGCCTTTCTGCCCGGCATTCTTTGCTCTTAATTGACAATCGCCAGAGGCCCATCCGGCCCCAAGTTGCTACCTTAGCTGCCGCTTTCAACACGGCCCGTAGTTTAGATTAGTTGAAATACCCTGCGCCGGTACCTCGTATTGTGCCTACCCTATACGGGTGGCTTGCCGGAAGGCTGTGTTGCACGGAACAATGTTTGTGCTTGTTCTTTCTTTGTTTGTCTTTGCTTTTTGCTTTTTCTTCCTTTCTAGAAGGAGTAAGCTGCGAGTAGCCGGGAAGGATGAAACACTGGAAAATGTAGTCCGGTCCAAGACGAGGAACGTGTCCAGCCGTGACTTCCTGTGAAACCAATATGTTTTAGGTAGCAAACACCTGACTGCAAGAACCCATCGCTGCGGTCGGAGAGGAGAGATCCCCCACACATACCTTGGCTCGAACCTCAAGGCAAATAAACAGTAAATACAGGCACGTCTCGATTGCGTCAACGTGCCGAGTGCCGAAAAGCGCAAATACCATCTGGGTCAGATGCATGTTTCCAAGGGCTGATGTATACGGACATCCATTAGAGTTCAGTTTAACACCTCCATGCGCGTGTAGGTTCTCTTCTCGGAACCAAGAAGGTGCCATCAGAACCAGCTAGGCGCCATCGATAGATATGTCTGTCGGCCATGTGGTGTAACCAATCACGCATTGTCGTCAGAAATCATACAGTCTTGCAGTGGGGTTATGGAGTATTGGCGCAAGCGGTTCCAATGGCTATACACCATCTGAACAAGGCCTGTCCCGTCACTGCCAGTCAGCGCGCTTAGGCCTCTTCGCGATTGGGTGGCTCTACGGCTGGCTGTTCGGAGACAGAGTTGCTGGAGCGTTTGGCAATGGGATGGAACTGTTGACCGTAGCGGGTGGCTATAGACTTTTTAATACGATAGAATAACTTTACTCCTCGTATCGGGGCTGTTGGCTCGCTCGTGCCACTTTCTAATTGTTGGTCGATCGCACATGCACTATCGAAGCCGGACCTGCCAAACCCAAACTTGCGGTGACCCTTACTACAGTGCCAGCCCAGTGTGGCGGGCTTGAGCATTTTGGACGCCACACCATTTGCAGCGACGAAGCAGTTGCCGTCGCCAACAACCCTCCTGGCCAGAGAGTTGTGTGCGCGCGTGCTTGTGTGAGACTGCGCATTTCCCCCACGCTGGTCGGCCTCACGGCTGGTTGACTTGTTCATTCACCCCGCATTCGTCGCGTTAGTAGGTACTTACTTGGGGGAGCTCTCTCACGCCCACGAGGGAGCGACCGCTCTGCACAACCCTGCCATGCCATCGACACCAAAGAGCACTGAAGACGTCCAGGTCGCTGCCTCCAACCAGACCCTAAATGCCTTCCTAGGCGGGCGCAGGCCGTCCTGGTATCAGAATACCAAGAGCACGACTGGTCTGAAGCCAAGGAAATCTACAGTCCGCCCAGTTGCTCAATCGAAAGCAGCCGAGAAGCGTGTGCGCAAAACCCCTGTTACGGAGAACGGGGACGGGGTCAAGGACGTGGCCCCAGATAACCAGATAGCTTCGCAAAAACACGATCAGCAACTGGCCACGGCTGCACCAAGGTACGGCCCCCCTTAGCTCCGGTCAGCTTATGGCGCTCGCTAACTTCCCTTACACAGAGACGGCTCACTGCTTCCTTCGCCGGCTCTGACAAACGAACTTAGCCCGGCCCTTTCAACTCGCCATGCGAGCCCAAGCGAACAGACGGGTAGCGAATCATTCCGGACTGAGGATCGTAATACAGAAGCCGAACTGCGCGCACTCCAACAATCGCCTGCCGCGAGCCACCCATCACCCGCCACGACGGAAACTCCTCAACCCGTTGATGTTGGCATGGTTCACATTGAGCATGGCCCAAAGCCCCGGCCGACCCAAGCGACTTCGGAGCCAGCTTCCTCTCAAGCCGGTTCGCCCACGGCACAGAGCGCTGCTCCTGCTCCCGTTTCGACTGCGTCGCCCAAACCCCAAACACCGACAACACCGCTCTCCGGCCCGACTAGCTCCGTTGCTCCAAGAACGACAATTGTTAGGCCGTCCTCGACCAGGAAAAGAAGCAGACCCTCTTCCACCTCTGCCGACAATCGAGCGCCCCAGCGGCCTCGCACAGGCATGCCGCATGAACAAGGAGCACCTACAGACCTCGCTGGGCAGTGGCAGCAGTATTGCCAGCATCTTGATGACAGAATCGGCGCTTGTGGTGGGTGGGCCAATCTGGGAAGTGGGATTGAGTCACCCAGGTTCAAGTATCTCAGAGATGCTCTCCTAGCCGGTGATGGCTTTTATGTGCTCCTCCACCAGTTGCTGTGTCTTTGGTCTCTGGACGCCAATAGGGCGTATGGAGCATTCCCAACACTGGGCCGGGCTACGGTTGATCACGGATTCGGCTTTCTCATGAACATTCTTCGCCCCAATTCACTCCTTGCTTACAATTCCTTGATATGGTTTGCAGACTTCCCCAAACCCGTGTCTGGGGATGGCATGCTTGCAATTCCTTCGTTGGCACCTCGTATTGGTACTTTCCTGACTGCATTTGTCCTACGCTGGGACCGAATGCTTGCTCAGGCAAGGACACGGAAGTATCCATTGACAGCCTTCGAGCTGGGGCCAACTCTGAACTGCGATTCGAGAATCTTGCAAGGAACTTTCTTCACAGTTAGTCGGAGGGTTGTTGGTATTGGGGATTCCGTTGCTGGGCAGCTGAACGCTGTCTTTTGCAAAGACCAGGAAGATGAAGCTCACCTCAAGGAAATCGGGGCTCCAGCAGATCTTGTTCAAAAGTATCGACAAGAGCGAGTTCGCCAGTACTCAGACCTTGCTCGGGAGGCTAAGCAAGCAGGTGAGATGGTTTCCCAGTGATTGATGCGCGGATCCGCCCTGTGCTAACACTAGGTGCCTTTAGATACGAGTCGTTCACCAAGCGTGTCTTCCTCGGCACAACCACAGCGAGCGCAGACGTTCCCAACTGCATCGGCGCCGCCAACCCCAACTTCTGGTTCCCCAGATCAACCAGGGCAGATGCTTCCCAGTCAACTCATTCCACCCAACGTTGCTATGCCTATTCCTTCTCTTCCCAGATCTAATAGCATACCAACCGGCGTGCCCCTTCATATCATCCAAGCCCAACAACAAGCAGCCGGCCAACATCCAAATACTATCACTCAGATGAATCATCTCCAGCCAAGCTCTCAGCCAGCATCGCCTCAAACCAATATGTCGCCGACTACAGTGAGCATGGCACCACTTCCATCTCCAACGCATCCCCAAGCGACTCAGGTGACGTCTTATTCTTCACCTCGTTATCATCAGCAACATTTTCAACCGACCATGCAACATGCCCCGCAGTTTCCACAGCCGCACCAGTTTCCGCAGCATTATCACCCCCAGCAAGCTCAACAGATTTTGCCAAGTCAGCGAATTCCTCACCATCCTCAAGTCCATCCACAGCATGTTCTGCCAAACCAACAGATTCCTTACGCCCTTCAAATCCCGCAGTCACACCATGGGCGCTCTGTTCAGCAAGCCCATCAGCCACGGCATCCGGCTCCATCCATTGCACAACCTGGACAGAGCCAACCGGGTATGCTCCACATGCCTAATAATATACCTCCACATGCTGCGAACTCCCGGACAGTCTCAGCCAATGGTGTTACTGATGCTAGGGGCGTCCAACATCAAAATCTACAGATCGCAGCACAACAAGTTCGGCGGATTCCCGAGCACGAATATCCTAGTAGCCCGTATGATTGGCTTTCTCACGCGTCAGCAGCGCATTTGTCAACCCTCCGGAGCCCAGAACGCAGAGCTGCGCGTCAGCTCCCGCCTCTTGTACGGCACTACCAACATGTCTCTGACTTTGCATTTGGGCCGATGAAATTTCCGCCTCAGACGGGCCCCAGAAGTCTGGGTTTCACTGTATCAAGTGATAGCTTGGCCAGAATCCCACTAGCTTTTGAAAGTGAGGTCGGCCTACCGGTCCGCTATTATGGAGATGGGTCGCTTCGATATCGATTACGGCTTTGTATGCGACCCGAGTCCGATGAAACAGTATCGCCATCGGATTGGGTGGTTTCCCCTACTCACTGGCCCCAGGCGATCTTCCCCGCCTTGAACGGCCAATCTTTGATGGTTCGCCGGAAGCAGCACTTTCACCATGATCTCCCAGTTGACCTGTCGGACTTGGTGGTTAAAGGGGATAATGTTGTCAGGATTAGTTTCCCCGACAAACCGGTCAATTACAAAAAGGGGATGACGTATTTCGTTGCCATTGAGATTGTGAGTACCATGTCGCACAACGCTCTGACCTCCATGGTATTGGAAGCACCCCCGATATCAGCTGAGGAAACCGGTGCTGAGATTCAACGACGACTGAAACCATCCGAGTCTGACGATGTCGTGGTCGAGGATAACACATTCTGCATCAATGTTGCAGACCCGTTCAGTTCCTCCTTGTTTGAAGTTCCAGTCCGTGGAGTTTTATGCAAACATTTGGATTGTTTCGACCTGGAAACATGGTTACAAACTCGCCAAGGAAAACCGGGCGGAGGACTCGAGGAGCCTTCAATGGCCGATAACTGGAAGTGCCCCATATGCTTCCTTGATGCTCGTCCAAGCAGCCTTCGTGTGGATGAATTCTTTGCTGGAGTACGCAAGGGCCTGCTTGCGCAGGGTTTGGGCAAGACGAAAAAGATCCTGGTTACGGCCGATGGCAGTTGGAGTGCAGTTCCCGAACTGGACGATTCAGATGACGAGTCCCCTGTCCAGCCGAACCGTTCTGTTGGCGAAAGGATTAATCAGAACAAAGCCACAGCACCGGCGAACATCATTGAGATTGATGATGACTGATGTCAATACTGACATCCCGGAAATTCGAATGCTCGCATTCGATACATATGCTGTCTAGGCCAAAGCCCAATTACGCAGCGCCTTGGCCCCAATCAAACGATTGGAATTAGAAATATTCTATTGGAACTGCTGTTTCCATATAAAGAAAATAACGTGTGTTACTCATCAATGTGTGTTTTTTTATCTATACCCATGGGTTCTTGCTAGCTAGGCGTTTATGGGTATTTGAGACTGTTTCGCTGGTTTACCAGGTGACAGTCGGTGTGTACATTTTGGCATGAATAGGGAAAAAAGGGCCGGTTCGTGTACAAATGTGACTTGAAGAACATTTTTTTTTTCAAGGGTTTGGTGTCGAGCTTGACTTCGCTTGCGGCAGCTTGAGCACAAGTTGGGACGACCTCAAAGCTGCCAGCCCTGCTTATCTCCTGGGGCTAGTCGAGCAGGGAAATGGAAGCTCCATCGGGGATACGAGATGTCTTGTCAATGATGGTCATGGTCTGGGCGGAAATTTGGGAGTGAGGGCTTCAGTTCCCCAAACATTCAGTGGGACAGGTATATTGTGGTTGTGAAAATACTCTAGTGATCAGGACCAGTTTGCGTCCTACGTGGAAGAGGGGTCTGAAGAAAGGAGCAGTGTGTTCTCAGCATTGCGAAATAAGCCTTATTACCAAATGAACATCTATCATTGACCGGTACTCATGAAGAAAACATGCCAAAATCGAGTATATGTGAAGTCTGTTCCCACCGCCGAAGAGAATATACCTGTCTTAGGGCACCAGCTCGGCACCAATGTCGTTTGTTTCAGATGCAAACAGAAACCAAATCTATGAAATCATTGTGTCCGCCCTTAGATCTTCGCCTTCACTTCAACCGTATCCCTATCACTGGGAACCTTGGGATGGCTTCCTGCTAATTGCAGGCCCGTAATCTTCTCCAGTTCATCCACAGCCTCATAAGCTTTGCCCAGATGTACCTTGATGGTCCGGAAGCCCTGGTTTTTCGCCTGCTTTAGATTTTCACCAATATCGTCCAAGAACACCACATCTGACGGCGCTACGTCGGGCAAGCCCCGACTCTTGGCGTTCTTGTTGACCAGCTCCAGCGCAAGCTGGTAGACGGCAGGGTCGGGCTTCCGCAGACCGACGTGGGCCGAGGAAACGAAGACGTCGAAGATGCTGCGCACGGGGTCGTCGAAGTAGTCCTCGCGGTGGAGGGCGTGACCCGGCGGGAAGACGACCGTGTTGCTCAGGGCGGCCAGGATGTACCTCCCGCTGGCCTTAAGCCTCTGCAGGGCGGGGAACATCCACGGGTCCGGGGAGTTGGACGACGACATCATCGTCTCGAAGAGCCACTCGCCGTCCACGTCCGGGAGCTGGGGCACCTCCTCCGGGAGCAGCTTTGGGTTCTTGGCCTGCTCTCTGCGGTAGAAGTCCTGCCACCTGGCCGTGTCGTGCAGGTCTTGGTTGAATGCCTTGTAGAAGTCCTTGTCGATTGTCATCTCACCCCGCTCGACCTTGTGCCATGAACCGTGGGGGGCGGTTCTGGAGATGGAGTAGTTCACCCAGCCGGGTGGTATGCCTAGGCTGACTTCATAGTTGAGGATGACCTGAAATGGAGATTTTACCTGGATTGGGTGTTAGAATGATGCGAAGCCTGAGATAGAAGAGATATAACTTGTGTGTTGAGTTTTGTTTTTGAGAGGGTATTGAATTACTTACACAAACGCCCCCAATGTCAAACAAGAGGACCTTGGGTTGATTTGGGGGTGACATATTCGGGTGGGCGTTGACGGGGATAGGGAGCTGGCGAATTGCTCAATGATTTGTGGCTGACAGTAAGGATTACGAGTGATTATGGTGTTACGCTGTGTGAATTCACCTTGATTTGATTACATTGCGCTGGTCAAACCGTGAGGGCGTCTCTAAGGCAACATCTATCTCAAGGTGCTTCTTATCCGAAGTACCTCGGCACGGGCACGGAGGCACACTGGCGATGTCTGGAAACTGGCCCGTGTACCCAAACTAGTACCTCTTTGGAATTGGAGAAGGGTGCCTCAATGATGAAAATGATGAATCTCAATAGGTCACGCTGCTCGCCTCTTTAGGCATTGATCTAACAGCGGCATGCTCCCGTAAAGATTCTTCCCAACGTGGGAATCGATACTGGCACTTGTGTTAACGCCCAAAAGGAACAAGTTGGCTTGAGATTATCCATTAAGCAGTCAAAATCAATCCGCACAGCTCTAAACCTCTAAACCATGCAGAGCATTTGGCTACCCTGTAGCATAGATGTGGGGTTATTTGCCCAGGTCATGTGATTCGTCCCCGACCCTTCTGCAGACGTTTTGACAAGTTTCTCGAAATGTGGGGCCAACCACGAAATGTGAATCTTAGGGCTTGAAATTTCCCCCACCAAAATTTACTCTCGCTGTTTGATCCGTCTTTCAACAACCAGCACTCATCATCAAGAGTTAGCCGTCGTTGGTCAATACCGCCACAATGGTAAGTTAGGCCTATCTTGAGGAGATTCTCTTGTTTCTCTCTCAATTGCACCGGCAGAAATGCCATCTGTTGTCTTTGCTCGGGGTTTAGAGTCATCGCAAGTTGCTTCGGAAGGAGGACGAGCAAATCTGAAGCGCAAATTGCTGACTCGAGGATGTTTTATAGCCTTTCCACAAGTTGGTTAAGAACAGCGCGTACTACAGGTAAGTCATTCAGGATCTTCAAGAAAAACCCCGCGGTCGCTAATTGCAATCTCGTTACAGTCGCTACCAGACCAAGTACAAGCGCAGACAGCAGGGAAAGACCGACTACTACGCCCGCAAGCGCCTCATCACCCAGGCCAAGAACAAGTACAATGCTCCCAAGTACCGCATGGTCGTCCGCTTCACCAACAAGGACATCATCACCCAGATCGTCTCTTCCGAGATCTCTGGTGACAAGGTCTTCGCCGCTGCCTACGCTCACGAGCTCAAGGCCTACGGTATCAAGCACGGTCTGACCAACTGGGCTGCCGCCTACGCCACCGGTCTCCTCCTCGCCCGCCGTGTCCTGAAGAAGCTCGGTCTCGATGAGGACTTCACCGGTGTTGAGGAGCCCGATGGTGAGTTCACCCTCACCGAGGCCGCCGAGACCGACGACGGTGAGCGCCGCCCCTTCAAGGCCTTCCTCGACATTGGTCTTGCCCGTACCTCCACTGGTGCCCGTGTCTTCGGTGCCATGAAGGGTGCTTCCGACGGTGGTCTTCTGATCCCCCACTCCGAGAAGCGATTCCCCGGCTACGATATGGAGACCAAGGAGCTCGATGCCGACACCCTCCGCAACTACATCTTCGGTGGCCACGTCGCTGAGTACATGGAGACTCTGGCCGATGATGATGAGGAGCGCTACCAGAGCCAGTTCCAGCAGTACATCGACGACGACGTCGAGGCTGAGGGACTCGAGGAGCTCTACACCGAGGCCCACGCCGCCATCCGTGAGGACCCCTTCAAGAAGGTCGAGGGCGAGGGCCCCAAGAAGACCAAGGAGGAGTGGAAGGCCATCTCCCTCAAGTACCGCACTCCCCGCTCCACCAAGGCCGAGAAGGAGGAGCGCGTCAAGGCCAGAATCGCAGAGCTGCTGGCCGAGGAATAAGCTGCTGTTTCTGTCTAAAAATAAAATTGCATCTTTCGTGGCTTTGGGTTTGGAGTTTCGAGGGCCAGGTCCGTTATCATGTTCAGATGAATACAAAAGATATCACGCCTCGCGTCTAATTTGATTGGTTAAATTTGTGCTCCGTAAACGATACCATCTCACAATTGCGCATCCTGTTATGATTCTTGTGAGAGGGCAGACATAGACTCGCCCCAATGGGTGCTTCCTTTTCATGCTTCTACTGGATTGTTGAGTATGTGTGGACTTGCTGCATCAAACCCCAGTTTGTGGAACGCAGGTTATTATGTAAATTTCTTCGGAAAGAGTGTGGCATTCCGCATGTCAATTACCCTTGGGGGTGCTGGGTACCTCCACACAATTGCCGAGATTCTATTCTTAGCGATTATTCGGTCTTCTGCTGTCACAGGGAACCGTTGTAGACGATTTCGGGATCATGCCTGCTTGTATTTTTCCGAGTTGGCTAGTATACCGATACATCCCCGAAGCATGGCCTGTTCGCGCCTCGCGTCATAACTGGCCGTGTGGGATTGTAAACGGCGTGACAATGGGGAGCAGGGAGTAACCTACCTATGTTGCTATGTCATTGATAAGTCAACTGGCCTGGGTCGGATAAAGATAATCGAAGGTAAGCCCGGTAGGGGTTATTGACTTCCTGGTTCCGCATGGAGCGGCTTGGAGCGGTAAGAGTATCATTTGCCACGGATCAAATGTTGGAATGGGACAGATCCAATGTTAAAGATCCCGATCTCGCTCTGTTCCGCCTGAGTAGGAATTGGACAATAAATTTGTCATGAGAACGTCAAATTTCAGAGGAAAATGCCTCTACCTCTTGAGTGGAGATCTCGGAAACTGGGACTAAAGAGGTCGGCAGACATCCGCCGAGGCCGACGATAGCAACAGAAGCAATGGGGGTTGGCACTCTTCAAAATATGTCGGTGTACATGCTGCTGATCTACCAGCGCTCGTTGGGTTGTTCTCAGTAGCCTCGGACCGTGGGTTTGGTCCATGTGGACAGAATATGTGATTATATCTGATCAGTACCTCTCAGGTGAGTCGAACAAATAGACACCACATTAAGAATGCGCAAGGTTGCGGATAGGGCAGACAGCCTTCCAAAAGGGGCTTTAGAAGGATTTCTAAGCAGTAAAATGACGCCGGATGGGTGTGGAAAGTGGGAGAGGCGACTGCGCTTGGCGATGATGTGCGCCGCGATTCCTCATCTTGTGGGCAAACTACGTAACCGGAACGGCCTGAAGCTGGATGCTGGGAGGCGATGGATGATAGCTGGGTACATCCGCCGATGTGTCACTACCAGGGTAGATGTCTTTCCGCGGTAGCGGGATGTATTGAATCGAGGTGCTGGCAAGTACCGATGCTGCTACCCGCAGTACCCGCTATCAGCAGGGCAGTGGAGTAGCATTGGATGGAACCAGCTCTCCAAGTCACACGACTTTTAGACTACCTGCTAAGCTACTACCAATACTAGCACCCTGGACTCCATACATGCAAACTCTCCAGGGCGGCGTCTCCTGCGTCTGAGGGCCAGTTCGCGGGCAGCTGCACGGCGAGCCCGTCGACAAGCGAAATGCTGCGGCTGACGATGGCACTAGCTCGGCCTCTTCTGGCCAGCAAGCATGTCTCGTTTCCTGGTGCTTAGCTGACCAAGATGCGGCGTAATGTACCGCCGCCGTCCATGCCAGGACCAGTTCGCTCGACCCCAGACTTTGTCATCATTTGGATCGCGGCCATTGGCCACGGGTGCTCGAGGTGGGCGCCACCGGTCGCGCTACAATGATGTCTTTGGTGGTCCAGGCTGCCCTACCCCGCCAAGGATCCAGGCCAGGATGTGCTGTAGTTGGCTGGTAGCCTGGATAAATAATTACCTTAAGGAAGGCCCCGTCCACTTTTGTCCTTGGCGCTGGGTTGGCTAGACCTTGAGACATCTTTGATCCTCTTGCAACCGCCAGAATATCGAGGCTTAAAAAGAAAAGAGCAGTCTGAGCTTGCCCTCTGGGGCCTCAGCCTAGTCCCGACCTCAACTCTCCTCCTTTTCGGTTCCCACCATCATCCTTATCCGCATCTTTATCCTGCAGCTGGGGCATCCGATAGAGCCTGGTTGGCATTATGGAGCAGGTCCACGGAGTTGATGTCAGTTGGATGACACAGGCCTCCCCCAAGGGTATGTTCTATCTTGTCGCATTAGAACGGACACCTTCACTTTGCTCTCTCCTGTGTGGTTGGTCATGCATTGCTAATCAATCTCTTGAATTACTATAGACAAAATTCTTAAGAAAACCCCATCCGCCAGCGATTCTCCACTGCCCCAACAGATCCCCCGAACACCAGCAACGAACCCCTCGAATTCACCGGCATCGACTGAATCCAAGGCCAATGGCTCGTTGGGCACGTCGCCGTCACCAAACGGCGCGGGGAATGCAAGGAGGAAAACTCGTTCGGGTTCGGTAGATAAGAGCAATGGCCCAACTGGGCCGCCTCACCGGCGGAACTCTTGGTTCTCCAACATATCTGCCAAGTTCTCCGGGTCTTCTGCTCAGGCTGGGAACACCGCCCCGGCCAGTACGAATGCCCCGATTCCGGAGAAGGAGGACGACTCGATTGCACAACCACCACCGCCGCCTGTAACCCACTCGAGAGTTCCTCCAGCCGGTGGATCAAGGAATCCGGTTCTTCCACCGGCTGCGAGGTCGGAAGGAAATGGGCCATATACTCCAGCTCCGCCGAAGAACAGCCAAGCTGGCTTCTTGGGAGTATTCCGGAGGCTGTCGTCCTCGTCTGGCGGATCTCTCGGCACAGGAGCCAAACTAGGGCACGGTCTTGTCGAACGCAGGGTGTTGAACGTGGACCATCACCGCGAAAGATGTCCCATTTCAGAGCTGAATAGTGCCAAGTTACGGAGGGTTTCTTTCTGTGTGGATGTCGAGATTGCACCCATGCCTAAGTACTCCGACGGAGAGACACAGGCTAAGGCTCCCGTGAGTGCTGCGCAGAAGAAGAAGATAACGGAGTCGGGTGAAGGAGAGGCCCTGAAAAACCCCAAAGCTGTAGAGGAAGCAAAGGAGGCCAACGGAAAAGTCCCCACGCCAGCCGAGAGCGTGGTCAGTAATGGTAACAAACCCTCGGACAGCCCCAAACCAGACTTGGACATCATCGACGAGTCCACTCCTATATCGGACGCCGTAAAACCAGAGCCTGAAAAGGAGACCACCCGAAAGAAAGAAAAGAAAAAGAAGAGCGAGGAAGAGCGCAAAGCTAGGAAAGAAAAGAAGCGCAAACTCGCCGAAGCCAATGGAACCATTCCCATGGAGATTCGCTATGATAGCAGCGATTCGTCTACCGAGCCCGGTAGCACACTCAACGGGATAGTTAAAACAACATCAATACCGACAACAAATCCGGTCAGGATATACCGTAGATGTTGCCAGCTACGGGAGACACCCATTCTAAAGAAGATAACTGAGCAGCTAATCAACGCCACTCCCTCCGCGCAGCTAGGCGTCGTGAATAAGCTAGATCTGACAGGCTACACTATGCAGTTGGAAGATCTCGTCACGCTTGGGGACTATTTTGCAGTTGTGCCAGTACGAGAGGTTATTTTGGAGAACTGCAACCTCGGAGACGAGGGTCTGAGGGCAATTTTGGCCGGTCTTCTCGCTGCGAAGGTTCCTGATTATAGGCGGCGGAAGCAGAAACAAGACCTGCAGGAACAAGGTGGTGTCGTCGAGCGCCTGGTTTTGAAGGACAACAATATTGGCCCCGATGGGTGGAAACATCTCTGCCTATTCATCTACCTTTGCCGTTCATTGAAGTTTCTAGACGTCTCGAACCTCCAACTACCCCGGCAAGGATCTACACAGCAGAATGGGCAAGCCATCAACGGGCATCAAATTCCCAAAGGCATTTCCGAGGTCTTATCGAAGTCATTAGGTGAGAGGCTAGGCGGATCTACGCTTGAGCTCATCAATCTCGGAGGCACAGAGCCAACAACAGAGCAACTTGGTGTGATTATCGATGGTCTTGTACAGTGCGGCGTCCGAAGGCTTGGTTTGGCTAATAACCATATCGACGAACAAGGAGTGTCACACATCGCGCGTTACCTCGCCGCCAGGAAATGCGAAGGCTTGGATCTTAGTGGGAATGATCTGAAAGACCATATGGAACAGATCATAGCGCCGATTCAGGAAACCGACCCATTGTGGGCTCTCAGCCTATCTGGCTGCAGCCTCAACCCTTCGTCACTCTGCAAGATTATGCCTACCTTGATGAAGCTAGAAAGTTTCCGGTTTATAGACCTATCGCATAACCAGGACCTTTTCCAATCAACCCCCAGCGCTGTGGGTTTATTGAGAAGGTAAGTAACAGGTTTCACACTTGTCAATCGAAGATCAAAATGCTGACAGCACCAAATAGGTACCTGCCCAAGATGAAACCATTAAAACGCATTCATCTCCAGGATGTAGCCATGACTTCTGAACAAGCTATTGCGCTGGTGGAAATTTTGCCCGAAATCCATCAATTAGCACATATTAATCTCCTTGACAACCCTGAATTGGTGGCGCTGGCAGATGCCAGGACTGAGGAGGCCCAAGAAGAGGCATGCGCCCTGTATGCATCATTATTAGCAGCCTGTCGAGTTTCGGAGAGCATCATCTGCGTTGACATTGAGGTTCCGAGCGAACAGTCCGGCGAGATTGTCAAGGCCATGGCCAAGCAAGTGGTGGCCTACTGCCTCCGAAACATGGAGCGTATACCCGATCACGATGTGGGCGCGGCCATAAGTCTGGCGCTCAACGAAACTCAACGTGAAAGGGGCGAATCCAAATCCTCAGCGTACCCGGATGTACTTGTCCATCTGGTCGGACACGACGTTCTCGATGAAAGCGAGAGTGTCGATGACGATGGCTCTGCCCCTGATGATGATTATGTCATTGGAGGCACTGGCCTCGTGAAAGCCCTGACATGCTGTCTCGAAAATCGCGGCGATGCGTCGAGCGGGCAGTATGGAGAATTTATTGGCGAACTTGAAGAGGAGGAAGCAGGGGGCTCCAAGCTTGCGGCTGGCAGAAAGGCCAAGGACATGTCGAAGCATCTGCTGGCTGGCGCCCGCAAGATCCGCATGCGCCTCCAGCCCGCTCTCACCAGGGCAAGAGCACACCACCCACGTGATGAACAGAATTTGCGCAAGCTCGTCTTCCTAGACGACACTCTTCAGGGTATCATCAAGCGATTTGAGGATGAGTACCCGGACACTAGAGAGCCAATTGAGACACTGGGAGAAACGGCAGCATCCTCAAAGAGTCATGTGGAAATACTATCAGCATCTCCTCCAGGGGCTGAAGACAAGGGTGCCATATCTGATGGCGAAGATGAGTCAAAGATCCAACCACCAAGACCTCTGTCTCGATCAAACTCTGTGCTCTCCAAATTACTCGCAGAAGAGGAGGCGCAGGTTCTGCGTGTCGGCCACCGGTTCCGATCTGGCCTCTTTACGCAGGAACAGATGGATGTTCTGAGCACAGTTGATGATATTGGAAATGACCCCAAGCATATAACACTCCTTACGGGAGTTGCTGAGGATGTTGGAGGTGAGCTCCTCGAACTGGTCAAGCAGAAAGGTGTTATCCGCGCGTTCAAGGAAGATCGGGATATCGTCTTCAAGTGCATGCAAGAACACGATCCAGATCACTGGGACAGCTTCGTCGAATCTCAACGAAAGGCTCGTGCCAACATCACAGTACCTACAAGCGACACTAAGCCGACGGTTGAAACTCAGCTCGCAGATGAAAGCGCCATCATCGACTGAGTTAACCCCAAGCTCAATTATCCGCATGTCACAGAAGCATGTCAATTGCTTCTATCCCGGCCGTGCTACACAGCCATTAGTATCACTATCACTTGTATCAAAAAGCAGATTATCTTCTTCTTCTACGAATATACGAGGGGGTCCCAGTGGTCACTGCTCTCTGCTTTTCCCGGTCCAGACTGGGGGGACTCGTCTTCTGCTTGTATTCTTCTTCTCTCTTTGGCCGTATGATTATCACGAATTTTTTTAGCGATGGGGCGCATTGGGGAGGCATAAACAGCAATGATAATTTGGATATCATAGGTTTTATTTTTTATGTTTGAGGTTCAACTTATATTGCCTAGGCCTCATCGATCCGATCGCTTGGATGGAATGGAATGGAATGTAGCTCTTTCAATGAATGAATGGCATCTGGCGGTATTCTTTGCCGTGCAGCTCAGACTCTGGTCCCTCGTTCTCGCTTTTCCTGTCTTGCCTGATGGATTGCCTTGCTGCTTGATCATTTAACACATCAGCTGTTTCTTCTTAGGGGTGGGGGCTCGCCTCTCGGCGTTGGATCGCTCAATCTTCGTGTTCGGGAAGATGCATGATATTTTTTTTACTGGGGTGGTATAAAATACCCAGCATGTGTAGTTATCGAAACGGCGGTGGAAGTGTGAAGCAGTTTAGTATCACGAGAATATCGGTGTTAAGCAGTAAAACCGACATTATGGAGCCGGAAGATGACTGCCATCAACCAAACCAAACCGTAAGAAACAAGAAATGAACTTCGTTCATGTCGCTATAGAAACTACTAGATGATATACGTGCCATTTCCTTCTTTTGCCCTGAATATCCCATCCCTATCTAGGGTAGATGTATGAAAGAGGTGTATTCACATGACAAGTCACATGATAAGATGGTACAATCGCTGGTCCCTGTGTCCAGTTCCTGTTTTTGGTTTGTGCGCTGGATTGACCTTCGCGCCACAGTCGTGGGTCGGGTGGTCATCATTACGTCTTTTCTTACCTGTATCGTGGCTATGATGTAGCCATGGCTGAGATACAGGTTTTCGAGGCTCATGAAACTATGTAATGGGGCGGGGGGGAATTCGCTTCTAAACCCACCCGATGAGATGGCTCAATTGAGACAACTCTACCGTTTAATATGAGACCGCTTTGGTTGTGTCCGCCCGTTGAGGCAGGTCTACAATCTGGGGAAGCTGGCCAGGCTGGTCGGCACATTGCCCAGGGAGTTGTTTCCTGGCCTAGGCCGAAAGCAGGATCGAACGATCGCCAGCGCGTCTTCCGTGGAACGCGTCGGCGGCCGACCAAATTATTTGGGCCAAGGCACGGCGTCTGTAGCACTATGTAAACTAGGCGCAAAAGTAAAATTGTCTTCGATTCTTTTTGGGCAATGCGAAAACGAGGACCTCCATCGAAGGCCCTGGAGGCCCGGGACAGAAGGACGAGTGAACGAAATTAAGGGCAATTACAAACCGATGATTGTTATTCCATATTCCCGTATTTCGAGCATCTTGGCGCAGGAGTTCCGAGCCAGGCCATTGCCAGCGGTGGAGTCGCCCCCCCGTTCGGACTCCAGCTCAGCACCGCACCACCGTTTAGTGGGAGGAGGTAAGCACGAGATACTGCACATACCTCCTGCCTCACAGGGGGTCCTTGGCGGAATTTCCACTTTCTGGAACTGGGTTTCTGGACAGATTCGTTTCTCTACCCCAACACTTACCCGCGCGATTCTGCTGCGACCCGGACATCCGTCGAGGTTGAATGTAGACGATCCATTGCCCTCTCCTCCTCTTGGCCAATTCACTCCCATTCTACAATTGCAGCCTAGGAGCCTCCCGCACGCGCGATTACAGTGATCAGTGACGTCTACGATCCTCCCCAACCGATAGCCCGGAGCCACCATGTCGTCCCCAACATCTTCCTCACACAGCGGCAAGCGCAAGAGAAACGCCACAAGCCAGCTAGATGTGCCAAATGACGCGCTCGACAACCTCCAGGCGTCCTCCCGGGATGCTTCTGCGGAGGAGGGCGACACAACGGCCCCCGAGTCTGAGCACCGGCCCAATGCTAAGCGACAGCGAGCCAACAACAGGCTCGACGAGGCTGCTACATCTTTGACAACGGCTGATCCTGGCGAGCCCAGCGACACCACCGAGGCCAGCGTCGACATTGCCGAGCGAGTTGGTCGCAAGGGCCGCAAGAACTCCAATGCCAATGCGGCTGAGACCGAGAAGATGCCTCCCCCCCCGATTGGCAAGATGATCCATCCCGCAGGCGGTTATCGAACCAATGCACCACCCGTTGGTCGGCCTGTGAGAGTCTACGCCGATGGTGTCTTCGACATGTTCCATCTTGGGTGAGTGAAATGAGATTACATCTACGTTTTGGACAACGTCTGACAGCTTCCCAGTCACATGCGCCAGCTTGAGCAAGCCAAGAAGGCTTTCCCCAACACCACTCTTGTCGTTGGAGTTACAGGTGACTACGAGACACACCAGCGCAAAGGTTTGACTGTCATGTCCGCCAAAGAGCGCTCAGAGACCGTGCGACATTGCAAATGGGTAGACGAGGTCATCGAGGACTGCCCATGGATTGTCACACCCGAATTTCTCGATGAGAACAAGCTTGACTACGTCGCCCACGATGATCTTCCCTATGGCGCTGCCGAGGGTGATGATATCTACCAACCCATAAAGGAGGCGGGCAAGTTCCTCGTCACCCAACGCACAGAGGGTGTCAGCACTACTGGCCTCATTACCAGGTTAGCATGGTCCATGACCAAAAAAAGGGATACTCTCGGTCCCCTGGATGAGAAGTTGAGCTAACCTAGAATATAGAATTGTTCGAGACTACGAGAAGTATATCGCGCGACAATTCAAGCGTGGAACTTCGCGACAGGAACTCAACGTCAGTTGGCTCAAGAAGAACGAGATGGATCTGAAGCGCCATGTGCAGGAGCTGCGTGAAAACATTACCAACAACTGGACGTCGACTGGCGTGGAGTTGAGCCGGGAGTTGAAGCAATTCTGGCCCGCTAGCCGACCGCAGAGCCCTGCCCGAGCCAACAGTGCCTACGGTAATGACCTGGCAAGATCTCCCACTAGCACAGGGGCAAACTCCAAGGAGTTCCTCACAGGTTATGCCGTTGGTCTTGCTGGTGGAATTAGATCATGGGTGAGGACATGACCCCTGAATGAACTGTTGGTCAAACAAACTGCTGACAACGATTTGCAACAGATGACCAAGAATAAGAGAACAGTGGGTGATAGCCGCCCTGTCAGCGACGATGAGTCTGACGAGAGTGATGCTGCCAATGCCAGTGCCGCCAATGCCAATGCGAACGGTAAGGGCAAGTCCACGGAGCCCGTCAAGCTATAGCTTTCAGCTGGAGGATGAAGACACATGACAACCTAACCTGCCACGTTGGGGGGGAGCTAAAACACAATATTTTGGAATTTCGGAAGAACTCCACAGTGGGAAAAGGATCCAAGGACGGTCCGGTCATGAAACGGAGTGCTGGTCAGACATACTACTGACTGTAGGAGCACATAGATGGGCACATAATCTTAACTTAACGGCGTTTTGGTCGGTCAGGTCGAATCACGCATATCTGAAACACAGATCCTTTTCGTCTCGTTGGTTTAATTTGCGGTGATGTGTTATTGGGGGCCGCCAGAACAAGCAAAGATTCCTTCAGATATCGACAACTCACCTCCGGGTTAGGGGCGCTTGTATGTGCTTTGCCCCTTTTTGGCCCCCTTTCCCCCCTCAATAGCCCTTCGGCTTCGGGAGGAACATGTTTAGTTTGTCCTGGAGTGTGTTGGTTAGGTGGCTGCCTCTCATGACGGCCGGCCCGTCCCGGCGCACGGTGGTCTGTTTGTCGTCCGTGAGTCGTTGCTAGCTGCCGACTTGTAGATGTTTGGTGTCTCTTGGGTGTTGGTCAGTCTAACCTAAGCCGTTCCTCAAGGGATGCGCTGATGTGAGAGAGAGTAGATTAAAAAAAAAATAGGAGAGAAAGGAGAGAACAGTCTGTCCCATGCTTCTCGATCGCACTAAGGGAAGGTTTTCCAATTAGCCGCCGCGCTACAGTCGTTCTATCATGAAATGTCACCGATCCTTGGCGCGATGTAGACGCACGATGTGGCTCGAAAATAGGAGGAGGGGAGCGATGCAACCCAACCGTAAGCAGGTACCAGAGTGGCAGCGTGGCATCGTCATTTATTTTAGGGCTCACTTCTGGATAAATTGGGAATACAATTCCACATCTGTCCAAGACGGGGATACGTACGCGTCCAGCAGCCACGTACCATGCTCAGGGCAGCCCGATGGAGCATGATTAATTATCCGGCACTTGGGGATGATGAGAAGATGATGACGACCGAGAATCCTTCTCATGACAAGTCGCTTGTTGCCGCTGTTGCTGGGTGCTGCTGGCAGCGGGTCGCTGTTGCTGACACGCAGGTCGGTAGTGCTTTTGTATTTTAGTGTTCATTATCCGCATTGATTGCCATAATTACATCGGGCCCAAAAGCAAGGTAACGGGGCCAGAGGCAGACATGGGGAGGACCGCAGCCAAGATGCGTGAGCCTTGCAGATCTCCCAGTTTCATGATACGAGGTGGTGGGCGCGATCCAAATATGGGGAAACTAGCTGAAATATGCACCAGAGTGGGAGGAAGGATGGGGCAGAGGCATCGGCAGTGAGCAACAGCAGACTAGAACCTGATGATGATGAGGAGGTGTTTCTCCCCTGGTGCTGTGTAGGCGACACACACACCCCTCCCTCCCCAATCGTGCGAACGGTTGATGCGATTCCCGGCGCTGCGGGAGAGCCGAAAGGCTACGTCTGCCCTGGGCGTGACATATTGGGGGCGAGCGGGAGAGGATTTTCTGGTTCGATTCCCCAATTCCAGGCGCCAAGGTTGCTCTCCCTTCCTCCAGCAAGGAGTCCTACGTAGGGCTGTCTTGATGTGCCTTGTAGGGACTTGCGCCCAAG